AAGGAAATCGGCCTGTACCCAGAGGCTCAGGAGTTTAATTCCGAAGAAAGGAAATTAAAGCCAACACAAACAAACGTGGCAGGAGCTGGTGTGCTGAGGCCAGGCCCTGGCTCCCTCGTTCACAGCAGGCGTGCTCAAGCGCTTGGTCTTTCTCCGTCTTGTGTCCTCCAGCGCGTACTCTCAACTTTGTCACCCGATCTGTTGTGAAAAGAATGGAAACCCTACAGATCTGATTTTTGTGTTTGTGATTCTTCTGCCTACTTAAACATTGGTATTCCTCAGGGAACATCTTTTTTTTACCCGCTGTTCTCACCCTGTACCCTCCCCATCATCTTCAGGATAAAGGCCTAACTCGGCCATGTCTCATAAGGCCCTTCTGGATCTGGCTGCCCCCTTCACTCCTGTGTCCACGGTTTTCCTGGTCTCTTGTGCCCCTGCTCCTCTCTACCCACTGTTGCCTCTGCCCAAAATGCTTTCCTCCCCCTCACCCACCATCCTCCAGGCCAGCATCCACTCATCCTTTGAGTCAGGGCAGGGCTTCCCTGCTGGTCCAGTGGTTAAGACTCTGCCTGTCAATGCAGGGGACATGGGTTTGATTCATGGTCCGGGAAGATCCCACATGCCTCGAGGCAGCTGAGCGCATGTGCCACAGCCTCTGAGCCTGTGCGGCCTCGAGCCGGTGCTCTGCATCAGGAGAAGCCACCGCCACGAGAAGTCTGCACCCCAGCTACAGAGCAGCCGCGATGCAGCAGCAGATACCCAGCAGAGCCAAAAGTAAAAAAAAAGTCAGGGCAGGTTTCACCTCCTCTGAGGGTCTTCCCTAAATGGCCCCTGCACACCCTGCCGAGCTGAGTGGGGTACCACTCCTCTGGCCCTTATTAGCGTCTGTCCTTGAATTGCTGGCTTTTCAGTCAGCCCACTAGTCAATGAGTTGTTGAAAACACTTGTCTCTTGGCCACCACAGTAGCCCTAGCAGTGTTCCCAGCAATTCGTAAATGTTGACTAAATGTATGAATGAGGACTATATTCCCATATACTGACTTGCCTTCACTTAGGAAAAATGTAAGATAAAAATGTGCAAAAGCTCCTTTCCGCACTGAAGAGCGTTTAAGTATGCTGTCATTAACATGAAGAAGTGGCTTCCGGGTCTACTTCGTCTCTGTTCTCTCCTTTGCCTTCGCTACCCACCCCCCACCCAAACTCCTTTATTCTCCAGCTCCGCGGTGCTTCTTGTATGGTTCGCCCACGCTCTCCGCGTATCATAAACATGTGCCTCGCACATGGTAAAGTCCCTGAGAGCAGGATCTGGGGCTTCTCCATCACTGTGTACATGTAGTGTGTGGCACGTAGTGGATCCCTAGTCAGTAATTGTCAGATGCATTGGATGGAATGAAAAGCAAGGACAGTAAACTGCTGGGTCAGAGACGTCCATTCAGTGGCAGACGTTTTCTCAGGGGAGGCTCTTTTCCCTCTGGCACTACCATTGCTATCTGACATTCGTACAGTACTTTTAACTTTGCAAATTATGTTCCCATCCATTATCTGATAGCATCGCTGCATCTCCCCTTTGAGGTTTGCAGTTCAGGTCTGATTATCTCCCTTCAGCAACTTATCTGAATTCATTCACCTCGCAGAACTGGAACTGAAGCCTGAGAATTCCCATGCTTGAACAGGAACATTAGGAAAGGGGAAAACCATCCCCAAGTTGACTGGATCCCAGAGGAAGGTGTCTGACTTTGCTCAGCTGATTAACATGAGCAGGTTGGTAGTGAATTACAGGAAATGACCAGTCTTCACACATTAAGTGATAGAGGAAGTCCCATGTCCTGCAGGCCTTCAGGTATTCTGGGCCATCTTGGTTCCTTCTTACTGTAGGGCCTCCCCACCTGGGGTAGCCTTACCACTCACTTCTGTGACTTGGGACAGGCCAACCTCTCCCCAAGCTTTTTCCTCCTCTATAAAGAGCCATATGCTCAGTTTTGTCTGACTGTTTGTGGCCCCATGGACTGTAGCCTGCCAGGCTCCTCTGTCCATGGGATTCTCCAGGCAAGAATACTAGAACAGGTTGCTATTTCCTCCTGCAGAGGATCTTCCAGACCCAGGGATCAATCTTTCATCTCCTATGTCTCCTGCATTGGCAGGCGGATTCTTTACCACTAGTGCCACATGGGAAGCCCATAAAGAGCATAGCAATGCCCATTGAGGAGCCCATGGGATTCTGTATTCAACATTGTTTTGTGCAGATATAAAACTCTACTTTCAGCCATTTGTAACAAGAGGGGAAAGGACTTTTTCCTAATTTGGGAGCAGTTTGAAAGAGTCAAGTATCTTGAGTCCCACAGCTTCTTAGTCAAAGGCATTTTCTTATATTGGGTTGGCCAAGAAGTTCGTTCAGGTTTTCCCATAACATCTTGTGGAAAAACCCGAGCAAACCTTTTGGCCAGCTTGATTATTCTACTCTAAGTAAATGTATTGAGGTAGTTTTCATATTGGCAGTTAAGCTATTAGAGTTGTTGTCCCAAAACCATTATTCTGGTGGCTGATCTACTAAATAGAGCCCAGTGTAGTTTGTTGCACATAGATAGCGCTCAATGAATCTTTGTTGATTCATAACGTATATCAAGCACTAAACATTGGGGGACATTCCGAAGGCTTTAAGAATCGATCCTTGCCTTCATCTGGTGTATGAAAAGTGCCAGGCGTTCACAGGAATGACAGCGGATCACTAAACGTCCATGTAGCATATCCCGAAAGACGTCAAGCAGAGGATGTGATTGTAACTTAACTTAGCATTTCCTATTGCAATGGGGAACAACAGAGGGGTGGGTACAGGTTAGAAAAATGGTGTGGGAAAAGTGCACGGAGATGGAATGCTTCTAGAGTGTTGGGGGCAGTCGAGAGGTCAGCTTGGGTTTAATAAATAGTGATTCAGGTAGAAGCTTCGTGGATGAGAGCTGGCACTCTGGTTGGGGCCCTACTGTAAGCACTTTCAGTGCCATGCTGAGGAATTGAAATTAAGCCTAGGCTTTTGAAAATTGCAGGTTTTTGAGCAGGGAAGTGGCAGGGCAAAAGCAATGATTTTTGTCAGATTAATTTGGCAGTGGTCTGCAGGATAATTCAGAAGCGAAAGAATGGAGATGGGGCGGGGCAACTTGGACAGTGGCTTCTGAAATTTTTTGACTACAGTTTGCAGTCAGAAATGCCTTTGATGTCAACACACACACACTCGAAATTAGTTTCACATTGGATGTGTGCGATGCACTCAGATATTTTCTGTTATGTTCTATTTTGGTTTTTAAAGAAAGACCCACTTCATTGCTTTCATGATTGATTTTGATAGATGTTTACAGTGGAATGACATGCAGTAGTGTAAATGATCGATGTGTGATGGGTCTTCTACACAGGACCCAGAGTTTATTACAAATATTCAGACTAGAACCTTCTACCTGTGACTTCAGCCTGGTCGAGATAGTGCTGTTTGTTTATTTGGTTCTTTATCATGGGTTATAATAAGAAATACAGAAGGGGCAGCTATAAAGAACACTGGTTGGTTCTGTATAAGAATTTATTCCATAGATTTGGAAACTGTCAACTACTTTGTAGAAAAGAGAACCAGGTGGACAAAAGCCTCAGCCAAGATTTTCCATGTATTAATTATCAAAGAAGGACTCCCCTGGTGGTCAGCGGTTAAGACTTCAGGTGCCGTTGCAGGGGGTGCAGGTTCAATCCCTGGTCCAGGAGCTAAGATCCCACAAGCCTCAGGGCCAAAAAAACTAAAACATAAAACAGAAGCAATATTGTAACAAATTCAATAAAGACTTTAAAAAATGATCCACATTTAAAAAAAAAGGTCCACATCAAAAAAAAAATCTAAAAAAAAATAATAATCAAGGAGAGCAGATTAAACCAATAGTGAGAAATGAGATACTATTTCACAGCTATTGGACTGTCAAAAGGTACAGTAAATTTCGTCCAGCAATCCCAGGTGTCTGAGGAAGCAGTGGGAACTATAGCCACTACATGGGGTGGGGGCAGGGAATTGATACAACCACTGGGAGGTTTTGCAGCTCCTCACACAGTCAGAGATGGGCCTACCCCTCACCCAGTTAACCTTTCACACCTGTGCAGCAGGAGACCTGCAGCAGAAATGTCCACTGCTTCACTGTTTGTGTTAATAGATGTCCAGACTTTGAAGAATGGGAAATAAAACATGTTATCGTTATATGGTAAAATAAGCTGTAGTCAAAATGAATGAAGTCATGTGTGTCTCAGAAACATCATGCTAGACATAAAGTTTCCAAATGGTACATTTAATATTGTACTATTTGTATAAAGTTTGTGTGTGCTAAGTCACTTTGGTCATGTCAGACTCTGCAACCCTGTGGGGAACTGCTTTTTCTCATTTTTCGTGATTATACAACTCTGCCCCATAGGGGAGCTTTTTTACACCAAGCTCCTCTGTCCATGGGATTCTCCAGGCAGAGAATACTGGAGTGGGTTGCCATGCCCTCCTCCAGGGGATCTTCCCAACCCAGGGATCAAACCCACATATCTTACGTCTCCTTCATTGGCAGATGGGTTCTTTACCACTAGTGCCACCTGGCAAGCCCAGCACATATTTGTATAAAGTTTAGACCTGTAAAACAGTACTGTGTTGTGCTTATGGATTCAAATTTATGAAGTGAAAATACGGGAATAATATACCCTGAATTCAGGGTAGTGGTTATGTCGAGGATAATGGGGTGGGGAGAAGGAAGTGGGATCAGGTTGGAAAACCCCAGGAGCTTCAGCAGTATCTGTGCTGCTGTATAGATTGAAGGATAAGACCTGAAGCTAGTGTGGCTCAGTGTTCGTGTGGTCATTCATAGTGTCGTCCATACAGGTGGATGTCCATCCCAGCCTTCCTCTCACTCCTCGGGACCAGACCTTCAACAGAGAGGAGGAAATGACAGAGTAAAAGCGCTTTTAAGATTCCTGGTTGGTGAAGGACAGAAGTGAGAATGAGATCAGAGCTAGTGCCTCAGATCGTCTGGTGCTTCTCAGAGTCTCTGCATCTCAGCCTCCGTGAACCCATCAGAGCGGAGGTCAGGCCAAAGAAGACTTCTCTCTGGCTTGCCCAGTAAGCAGGACAAACATTGCACGTCCAAGTGCCTTATGGTCCCCTTTTATAAAATGGGAAAACCATTTTTTTTTAATGTCTGTCAAATATTAGGAGTTTCTGAAAGAAAGGCCAAAAGAAAAAGTCCAAGCCACCTCCCTGAATCGCCTTCCTTACTCTTTTGATCTTTGGATGTTCCAAAAACCTCCAGGCTTCTGTCACAAATCCTTTTACTGCTCAGGAGGAAGTCACCACTCAATTGTAAGCAAATATATATCTACTTGATCCTGGTAGTGGCAATTATGTTATGGGACTGCTGCGTGCTCCCCAAACAGAAAACAACCATTTTGAGTCTCCTGGCCATACTTAACCTCTGTGTAACTCTGTGCAAGTCCCCCATCTAGGCCTCAGTTTGATTAGCATCGTCAGGATACAACCACCCTCATCTTTATGACAGATACAGGCTGCTTATTATAGGTCGGGAACTATTGTAAAGAGTAAACTCATATAGCTTTCACAGCCACCCTATGCAATAGCTATATTATGATCCTATTTTATAGATAGGGAAACTGAGACACAGGAAAACTAAGTCACTTGTCAAGTCTCACAGCTGGCAGTTGGCAAAGCCCGGTCTTGACCCCAGACAGCCTGGATCCAGAGTCCATTCCCTCATACAGTGCGCCGTCTCTTGAGTCAAATACGGGAGGGCAGCACTTTGAATGAACTGACGCAGCGGAAGCAGTGAGCACAGAGACTGGCAATAGTAGGTGCTCAGTAAATGGCCTCTTTATTGGATGAACTCACCCCACACTCTGTGATTCATTCTGCCTTTCCTTTCAGAGGTCAGCCCCGGGAGCGTGGGGAAGGAGGGATCACAGCTGAGCTGGGCGATCTTGCTGGCCCAAGTACTGAATCGGCCAAGTCACAGAGTCATGCCTTTTATTTTTAAACACACACACACCTCCTCGGTGTGGTGGCAAGTGAGGGTGGTGTCTTCTGCGCTCTGGTTTGGGATCCGGCTAATTTAGGGGAGGGACTGAGGTGGGGCTGGAGAGGCTGTGGTCGTAGGCACTGGAAATTGGTCGTTCATAGCTCAGGCCATTTGTCTTTCTGATGGGGTCTCTCGCGTCCTTGCTCCGGCTGAACTTTCCTTGGCCCCAGGCATCATGGCCAGCTGGCCCTTCAGAGAAGATGGCATCCCTCGAGCAGCTGCTCCTCCGGAGCCAGCTGACTCCCTGTAAGCCCTGCCCTGGCCCCAGCCTGCTGTTTCCTCTCTCATGGTCAAGGTGGTGGTAGCCTTGGTGGGGGCCTCAGACCAGAGCCAGCAGCGACCCGAGAATAGAGTGACAGAAGGCTGGGGGAGGAGGGGCTCGTCCTTGCAGCCTGCAGAAGCTGCTGCCATTCGCCCACCTTCCTGCTCTTGCCGAGACGGTGACTCAGGCCCAGACCACTCCCTGGGGAGCCAGGATTTCAGCCACTATCAACTGCCTCCTACTCTCTGCTCAGCCTTCCCTCCCCCCACCACCCCGAACTCTGATCTTTGCTCAGCTGGAGATATCTGGAAGATGGCGGGGTGGGGGTAGACTGAATCATTCCAGGGTTCTCGCCACCCCCAGCTGGGGCCTAGGCCCATTCAGGCTCCATAGAAACAAATCCAGGAGGCCCAGTGAAGGCCAGGGAGGAGGTCGTAGGTTTTAGCTTCTTTCAGCTCTTCTTGGTGATGAACTGGAGGACTCTCCAAAGAAGGCAGGGCTTGAGAGATGTGCTGGGGTGACCAGGGGGATCCCCACCCAGCTGCCATCTGGGGCTGCCTCTCAGTCTCTGCCTCTGCCATGGAGGGGGTGGGGAAACAAAAGATTGAGAAACCCAGCAAATTGAAAAGGCACAAGAGCCGGTTTTGTAAATAGACATTACACAAGAGCAGGAGTTTTTTGGGAAAGGTTTTACTGAGACAGACAGAATTAGCCAACTGGCATCCTGCTGCTAATAGAGATATTTACTGTTTGAAAAAGTATATTTGTAGCTTTGGAGAACATCCTGTTGACTTTTCTTTATTGTGAAAGAAAATAGAACCCTTTCCCCCCTCTTCCCCTTTCCCTCTGTACACATAGAACTTTTTTTTTTTCTTTTCTGAGGTGGGGCTGGTTGGGGGTTGGAAAAGGGCAGGGCTGAGAGAAATGTTTTCTCCATTTTGTCCCCGAGACCAAAATATTCCTTCCCCTGCCCTCTGGTGCTCGTATTTATGGAATGGCAAGGAGAACCAAGTAAGGAAGCCCACTCCCTGGGTCGGGAGCTCACGGCCTTTCTGATAGCTCCCAGAGTTTCGAGGTTCTCTGGGGAGCGAGCCCTGTCCCCTCTCTGGACCTCTGCTGACCACCCCCCACCCCCCGATTCCAAGGGGAGAGCTGTGAGGACAAGGAGGAGGAGGACAGAAGTCTGGAAGCCCAGTGAGCCCCTCGTCCCAGAGCCCCAGTGGGCCAGGGCAGCCGTGCTCTCAAGAGATGCTGCCTTGCTGTCACTCTTGCTGCTGCTTCTGAGGATGTCTCTGTGGGGTCTTGAACCACAGGATGAAACCCAGAGGTCGGGGAGACGAAGGGGCCGAAGAGTCAGTTGACTCAAGGTTGCTTTGCCCTGTCTCCACCCTTTATCACTGCAGCGGCAGAGAATCTGACCCCTCCGCCAGGCCGCCTGCCCAAGCCCTCTGGCTCTTCCCTGGCAGAGCAGAGCACATTTACCCTTTGGCAGCCTGAAGAAACCCAGGAGGCTCTTCTCCTTTCACGCTTCCTCTCAGTCTCTTGAAAGTGTGTTCCCTTGATCCACACGCTGCTAACTTGGCCAGGCTTTACTGCCAGTGCCAAAGGCCAGCACTGTTCTCTCGGTCTCCACTGAATGTACTTTGCCTTGACCCCGGCTGGTGCTTGTGGCTGGTGATGCCTTTTTAGGTTTTTATTATAACTAGATAAGGACTGGGAGGCCAAGGACAATGATACTACCTTTCTTTGTTCTGTATGTAGCCTGATCCAAGAGTAGCTTTTTTCAGGAGCCCTAAATTAGACTGTGGTATTTGATAGGGCCCTGAGGGCAATGGTCTCATTTTACTCATTCATTTAATCATTCATTCCCTGCTTACTCTGTGCATGAAACCAGACTATAAGCTCCATGAAATCATAGAATGGGCCTGCCTTGTTCATCCTGAGATCCCTAATCCTCACGTAGTACTAGGCATGAAGGATACCCTTAATACATAGTCACCGGCTGTTCATTCAGTAAAAGGTTGAAAATAGCACTGTGCCTAGTACAGCACTTGCAGGAGATGCACGAAGCATGACCCTGAGTCCCTGCCCTGGAGGTGCTTGTGCGCTGTAATGAGAAAACAAGATGTGTGCACATCAGAGTTAATTAACCTGTACTTTTTACCAAATAGAGCTTACTTCGGTAATGAAAGGATGGCTCATTCTTGGGACATGCATTCACACAGTTCATCACAGCACAAGGTCATAGGTGAACCAACTGGTCAGTTAATGCATGCTGAAAAGGCGTTGATACAATTCAAAAGTCCAGTCTTTATATCTTTCAGTAAACTGGAAACAGAAAAATATTTCCTTACTATTATTGGGTTGGCCAAAATGTTCTTTGAGGCTTTTCTACTATCATACAGAAAAAACCTAAATGAACTTTTTGGCCAACCCAGTGGGAGGCTTCTTGGCTGAAACCAGGAGCCACCTTCTTGTTCTGTAGCAGACGATTAAGCTCAGAGATTCTTACTAAAGTCAGAAGCACTTTTCTACAATTTCTAGCCAATGCCATAATACAAGACAATAAGTAGATATTAAATATTGGGAAAGAAGAGGAAAATCTTACAGTTATTTTGAAGTGATATGACTATTTGGAAAACCTAGTTAGTTCTTTTTTTCTTGCCAGCCAAATTTCTTGGGCTATTAAGACCAGGTTAAACATACAGGTGTGGTGACTGGTTATGGGGTAAATATTTAACACCCCATAGCTTTCCTGTATACCAGGAAGGTGAATTGAAAAAGAGAATCCATTCATAGCATAACCAAAATATAAAATTCCATGGAATGCACCTAAGACATGTAGGGCAAAAAATTTTACCTTTAAGTGTTACTTTGGGATGTTAATATTTAACGAAATAAATGTAGCGGACCTATATGAAAAATCTCTTAAGGCCAAAAGAAATGATAAAAAGACTTGAATGACTGGAAAGAAATGTTTTGGCCCTAAATGAGTACATCTAATATTTAGAAAGATGTAAGTTCTTCATAAGCTAATTTATAAATATAATTTATTTTCACTTCATGGCAAATAGATGGGGAAACAGTGGAAACAGTGACAGACTTTATTTTTGGGGGCTCCAAAATCACTGCAGATGGTGACTGTAGCGATGAAATTAAAAGATGCTTGCTCCTTGGAAGAAAAGTCATGACCAACCTAGACAGCATATTAAAAAGCAGAGACATTACTCTGCCAACGATGGTCCATCTAGTCAAAGCTATGGTTTTTCTAGTAGTCATGTATGGATGGCTATGAGAGCTGGACTATAAAAAAAGCTGAGCGCTGAAGCGTCAATGCTTTTGAACTGTGGTGCTGGAGAAGACTTGAGAATCCCTTGGACTGCAAGGGGATCCAACCAGTCCATCCTAAAGGATATCAGTCCTGGGTGTTCATTGGAAGCACCGATGCCTAAGCTGAAACTCCAATACTCTGGCCACCTGATGTGAAGAACTGACTCATTTGAAAAGACCCTGATGCTCGGAAAGATTGAAGGCAGGAGGAGAAGGGGACGACAGAGGATGAGATAGTTGGATGGCATCACTGACTCAATGGACTTGAGTTTGAGTAAACTCCAGGAGTTGGTGATGGATAGGGAGGCCTGGGGTCGCAGAGTTGGACATGACTGAGCGACTGAACTGAACTGAATGTATTTTCAGTAATAAATACCCTGATTGAGAAGGGAGGATACAACACATGATTTTGAATTTCATGTTAAATCTGAAAACAAA